GAAAAATTCAGTTCCTTAGTCACACTAGCTACTAAGTAAGTAGTGTTACCAAACAGGACTACACAGATATAGCATAGTTCTGTCCTGGAAAGTGAGAACCACAAGGAGCCATCCAGATGATCTGGCCCAGCCTCCCTTATTTTATAGATGAGGAGTTTGAGACCCAGGAAAAATGTGTTCACAGACACACAGTCAACAGGTGGGAATTGAAGCCGAGTGTTTTGATGCCAAGCCCAGCCCAGCAGGTCTTCTAAGCTCTCCACCCACCAAAGGTTTATTACTATTTAAGCTAGAAAGTATGTCCCATTTCCCTCTTCTTTCATTTCCCTTAGGAGACATATCCTTTGTGTTTCTGAGAGGCTAAACCTCTTTCCTGGACATATAGTCCCCTTTTAAAAAAATAGGGGACTCCTGAACTTGGAGTGTCCTTATCCTCTGAGCATTCAGCTCAGTGAGGGACATCACAGGGGTTGCAGGGCAGCCTCAGGGCCCTGGACCTTTGGGAAAACTTTCACTGGCTCCTTTTCCCCAGAACATCCTGTCCAATCCAAACTAATCTTTATTTTCATACCTGTGTGCCACTCCAACTTGCCAAGACCTGTCTGACACTCAAATGCCTGTTAAAGTTTTTTTATATGAAACCAAGCACCACAGCACAGGGCCAGGAATGCCATCCCTTCACTGGAAATGACAGCCATTGACTTCCATGACTGGACGGTACTTCTAAGATAGAGGTATTGCCAGCTGCCCTGCTTTCTAGCCCACCTCTTTTATTTGATGGACAAAGAGACCATGGGCATAGACTTTGGGAAATACTTGTGCCCCGTGAGCACTAAGACATCCTGGGGACTGGGCCCAGGGTACCACACATGGAGATTCTCAGAGGAGCTCTCTCTTCATATCAAAGCATTTGGATTTAATTAACTCTGTTTTATAGGGAGACGTAGGCAGGGCCACAGGAAAGTAAGATGTAATGTTTCGGAGAAACTCCCACAGGTACATGGGATCTTCCCTAAGTGAGATTGGAAAAGAAAGGATGTGAATGGTCTGGGTCCCACCCCTCTCTGCCCTAGAGCAAAGCCCCTTTTCTAGGGGTGGGAGGGTGGGGGCCCCCCGGGGGCAGAACTGCCCACTCAGGGATGCTTAGCCAGTGGGCACACAGTTCCTGAGAGACCCAGGAGTCTGTACAGCATCTGGGAGACAGGGAGGCTTACACACTCTTCCTTACACTGAATGAATCTTTTTCTCCTCACTATATTAGAAAAACTTTTACAATACATATAATCAGAAAAAATATTCCTCTTCTAGGCTATGCCTGGGAAAATCATTAATAACAAAATAATTCTCTTTCTATGTTTTGCCGGTTTTTAACACTTGAGTGCAAGGATCTCAATTTGCCTAAATAGAAAGTTCCCTAGATCATTTGAGGTCTCTATCCTTTTGAGTTACCGCTCAAGATGAATTTATCTGTAAATGGCAGTCTCCCTGGACTACTGTATGTAAACAAACTCACAAATGCACATCTTGGTATAATGGAAAAGATCAGTGGTTTTGGCTTCGGAAAGCTTGGGCTAGTGGTTTTGGCTTTGGGAAGCCTGGGCTCAAGTCCCAATTCTGTTACTGACATGCTGTGTGATTCCAGATTTCTTAATCTCTGTGTACCTTGGGCTCCTCTTCTTCAGAAATGAGGATAACAATTCTGTCTCTTTCACAGAGTTGTTGGGATAGAACACACATGAAAATGCCCATCATAATGCCCAGGCTATTACAAGTGCTTGAGGAATGTACCCCCTTAATATTTCGAAACAAAAAAGTAAGGTGAGATCTGGAGCTCTGGCATCAATGATGGGGAAAGAGGGCTGAGCACTGCTGGTGGGAGGATTGGAGGGGCTCCCTGGGGGATGAAATTCTGTTAACATTCATGGTGACAAATTGGAGATGTCAGAAACAAACTTTGGTGCCAGAGGCCCAACCACTTGGTTCCATATCCAGTTCCATTCAACCAGTATCATTGGTACTGACCGCGATGAGAGGACTTTGGTCAGGATGTGGATTTATTTTTTCACAACTCAGATTCTGCTTTATTTAAAGACATTCACTCACCAGTTATTGGGCTTCAGCTATGGGTGATTGCTCTCCTGGGTGCCATGGGGCAGACACTGCCCACAGAATGAAGCCTCGCCTCTTAGCCTGGCCGTCAAGCGGCCATGTTCTGAGCCTCAGTTCTCTTTGTAGTTCTCCCTAATCGTCTCCAAATGTCACGTGCTTCTGCCAAATGGCTTTGTCACCCCCAAACACTCGTTCACATGTGTAATGCTCTCCTTCTCAGCTTCGCATATCCAAATTCTGCCTGGGCTTCAAAATCCAGGTGAGATCCCCACCCTTCAGAAGCCTTTCTAGAGGCTGACACCACTGGGGTGGGTCTCAGCTTCCTTTGACCAACCCACAGCCCCATATTTGAACATCTCTCATGGACTCCTCATCTTTCTATTCTGTTCTGAAGTTCCTATTCTGTACTAGATGGTGGGAGGGATGAAATACCTAGCTTTGTTTAAGAAAAAAAATATTATCCGCATTTATTTAGTATTTTCCATTAAATGCTGATACTCGGCTAGGGTGCCTTAGTCTGTGTGTGTGCTTGTCTGCCTTGTTTTGGCCGGTGCTCCAGTGAGTGGGCCTGGCTGACGGGTGGAGACCAATAGCCTGCACAGGCCCCGGGGTGCTGTGAATCTGTGCCAGGGGGAGCTGAAGGATCAGTAGTAGGAGTCCCTAAGGGAGGAGGTGGTGTGTTTGAAAAAGAACCCCGAGCAGGTGGAAGCAGCCAAGAAATGGCCAAGGTCAACTGAAGGAGGTTGACCGGGAAGAGCTGCAGATCTTTTCCTTGGGTTTGCACACTTGGGTGCTGTTCCCTGCCGGTGGAGTCTTCTCTCCTTCAGCTGACCTTGACCCTGCTCTGAATTCAAGACCCACGGCCCAGAATTTTGGAAAGGCAGTGCTGGCAAAGGTCAGACAGGGGTCTCTAGTTCAGCACTCCCATTTTAGAGAAGAAGAAACGGAGGCCTAGAGAGAGGAAACTGCAAAAGAAACAGAAAAGAAGATGTGGAGAAAGTATTTTAGAGGCTTTTCTGTTGCTCTCTATGGGAAATGATTCAGATGGTAGATTCAAGGATTCAGAGAAGGATTAGACGTGGAGGGTCAGAGAAGGGAAGTGACTGCCCCAAGCCACCTTGCTATTTGGCAGAGCCAGGATTAGAATTCATGCCTCTTTGATGTGCTTTTCTTTCTTTTATGCCGCTATATCTCATTTTAAAAAATAGATAATGATGGAAAAAGAACAAAGATAACTCTGTATGGGTGTCACTCTTTCTGATAAAGTAAAAACAGGAACAATTAGGAGACCATTTCAGACACGCAAAGAGATGCAGGCAAGAGGGCTGTGCAGTGACCCTGTGGCTCCCCTTGGGGTGGCCATGCTGGTGTTTCACAGAGGAAGGAAACGAGGTGAGCCAGATGAATTATAGGAAGCCCACTGGGGAACAAGCTCCAGATTGAGCTGGACACTGAGCCCACCATGGGCCTGATCAGGGTCCTGGGGGAGATGAGGTGCCAGTACGAGGCCATGGTAGAGACCAACTGGCAGGATGTGTAGCAGGAGTTCCAGGTCTAGGTGAGGGTGGGCTGCCCAGCAGGGAGGTGCCCTGTGTGCTTGTGCTGCAGTCTGACGGCATCAGCCTGCAGGCCATGTCCTGCTCTGAGGAGCTGCAGTGCTGCCAGTCAGAGATCCCAGAGCTGGGACTCTGTGAACGCCCTGGAGGGGGAGCTCCAGGTCCAGCCCACACCAGTGAGTCCTTCTGCTTGCGTGGGAGACTCAGCTGGCCTCCGTTTCCCACCACATGCAGCTCAGAGAACTTAACTAATTCGCCTCTAGTTGGAGAGCGAGTAAGAAGACAGGGACAGACACCGAGGCTGGGCCTGTGGATGGACTGTCCCCTGTGTGTCTGTGCTGCGGGGATGCAATGCCATCCATGTGCCACTCCCTGAGGCCACATGCAAGGCTGCCTGCTTGCCCTTCACCCCTGAGCCCCTGGTAGCAGCCCCTCTCTGAGCCAATCCTATGCAGACATCAGGGGCAGCAGCAGATTCTGCACACAGGGTTGGTGGGGACCCTCCTGTCACTGCAGATGAGGGGGAGGAGAACTTGCACTCACCCTCACCAGGTGGGCCGGGCGCCCTGCACCTCTGCAGCTTCTCAGGACTTGTCCACACTTTGACTGTCAAGGAGTTGCTCCGTGGGGGCCTCTGTCCTTCTTTAGTGCTTGGGAAATTGCATCCTTCTTCTGGTTCCCAGCCAAAAAAAATTAAATGAAGTTGCATAGTGAGTGTGAGTCTACTATTGTGGGGTTATTTCACTGACTTATAGTATCTGCTCTAGTGTTTTTCTTTTTTTGAGACAGAGTCTCACTATGTTGCCCTCGATAGGGTGCCGCGGCATCACAGCTCACAGCAACCTCAAACTCTTGGGCCTCAGCCTCCCTAGTAGCTGGGACTACAGGTGCCCGCCACAATGCCTGGCTATTTTCTTGTTTCAGTTGTCGTTGTTGTCTAGCTGGCCTGGGCCAGGCTCAAACCCGCCCTAGGTGCATGTGGCTGGCACCGTAACCACTGTGTTACCGTCACCGAGCCTAGTGTTTTTCTTTTTTAAAATAAATTTGATTGTGTATATTTAAGGTATACAACATGATGTTATGAGATAGTAGAATGGTTATTGTGGTTAGACGAGTGAACATATTCATCTTCCCACATGGTCTCCCATTTTTCCCACTGTGACAAGAGCAGCTATAATTTACTTATTTAGCAAAAATCCCTCCTACCTTACACTTGTATTAACTAGAGTCCTTGTGTTCTTCCTTAGATCTTTAGACTTGTACATCCTACATCGCTGCTTTCTATCCTTTGACTACTCCAGTGAGTTTTAAACCAGGGCTGGACTTCCTCGCTGTCTAGAAAGTCATCTCAGTGGGTTTGACCAGTATGGCAGAGAGTGAGGACAAGCGTGCACGAGAGAGCGCACAGCTGCTGAAGGAAGTGAAACAATAGCAAGAAGAAGCCTCTGTAGGTAAAACTGGGGTCTCAGAGCACATGTTTGTCTCAGGTTGCAGGGTACAATGTTATTCTAATTGGGTTGTGCTCACAAGAGTTCAAGCACAGTTCCGATGGGGATGTGGGGTGCAGAGAGCATGCTGATTTGTTTTGGGCCACACAGTTCGTACGGGGTAATGCTAGGGGCAGAGGCTGTACAGGAACACCCCCACTTTAATGAAATAAAGCCCTTATCCCACCTTGGTAGCCTAGAAGGACACTTTCCTGGGGAGGGAGATTGGGACAAATAACTCAGTCCTGCCTGCCTGGGTCACCTGCCCTTGCCGTGTGTCACCAAGTTCCATGGCCAGAACTGGGGAGTATGTTCTTGCTAATCCCAGTAGAGGGTGGATGAAGGATCCTAGATTCCTGTCGCTGGGTGGAGGGTGGGTGCTTCAGAGGAGACTCAACTTCATGCTGAGAACTGACAAAGGGGTTCTATGGATCAGGAGTGTAGACGATCTGGCTCACAGCCCACTTGTGGGACACTGTCCTAATCTCATGGCTCCAGGAGGAAAGTGATCTTGTCTGGGAACCTCTCTCTGTAGCTCCCATTTCCCTCTGCAGACCTGACATGATCTCCAGCCCCGGTGCTCCCAGAAGTCCTGACCCAGACGCTAAGCTCCCGGGAGTCTAGACCAAGGAAGAGTTCACCCTTGATGTGAATGCAGAATACCCATCCTCTGCAGCTGACCAATGTGTCAGATGGGGTGTGAGTCCACCCTCACAGACCCCAACCACACATCGGCACTCCAGCCCAGGCACCCACATGACAGGACAGCAGCGAGGGGGTCGTTCCTCACAGAGCCCCGGCATCTGGGCTCCCATCCGGACAGGCGTGGGGAAGACCACATAAGTAGATGCTTTGCTCTGCTGCCCTGTAGCACATGAATATTTGTCAAAGTGAGATAAATAAACACCACACAAAGATGACTGAGTTATGAGAAAACTTGGCTTTCAGAATGTTTTGGATTTTGGAATTTATTAAAAGTAACTTTATTAGCAACCGATGACCACTGTCTGGAATATGAATCCTTCCAAGTAATTCCCCGAACAGATTTTACATCCCTGATTTCCAAAAAGAGAAAATAGCTCTGTGGCTTGAAAGGACATAGGAAAGCTGGAATCTGCACTCTTTTCTGTCTGCTTCCAAAGTGCGGCTTTCTTTTTTCAGTCATACCACCGTTCCCATTCTCTTTTCTTGTTCTCCTAAGCCACTGCTTCTCAACCTCAGTTGCACACTGGAACCTACTGGAGAGCTTTAAAAGATACTGATGCCTGGGTCCCACCTGCAGGGATTCTGATGTGGTTGGTCTGGGTATGGTTTGGGCATCGGAATTTCTAAAAGTTCCTGGGGGATTCTAACGTGCAGCAGGGGCAGAAGCTGCTCCAGGAGGTTTTCAAGGTGAGCGGGGCACGTTCACTCCAGATGTTTCTACTCACTGGGATGGAGATTGTTCCCTTTTATCACAGCGGTGGTTATCAAGTTTGAGAGTTCCTCAGACACTTAGAGCGCTTGTTAAATTGCAGATTCCCAGGTCTCAACCCCAAAGTTTCTGAACTCAGTAGGTCCAGGATAGGATCTGAGAACATGCATTTCTAACAAGTTCCCAGGGGATGCTGCTGCTGCTGCTGGCTAAAGAACTTAACTCTGAGAACCATTTCCCTAGAGGCTGGCAAAGCTAGTCTAGAAAAAAGCCCGGCACTGATTTTGTTTCAGCACAGTGTAGAACCAAACAAACAATTTTCTTTGTCAAAGGGCATCTTATTTATGCTGGGTCACCCCGGCCTAATGCCTGCTAAAGGCCTCACCTGTGTTTGTACCTTTCCTGGGTCACCATCAGTATCTGAGAAAGGTCAAGGGCAACTCTTGAGGGGAGCATGCAGCTTTGGCACAGAAGGTTATTTCCCCAGCGATGCACAAACAAACCAGCTGGATCTGCTCTTTCCAGAGGTGCCTGTGTTTTCTCAGACCCCCAAGATCCAGCTGGGACCTTGGAGCTCTAAGGGGAATGGGAGAAGCTCAGTGACTGGTGAGATGATGAAGCAGTTGTCCTCAGAGAACTATTTTACCAGCATGCTTCTGATCATGTATTCATTTTCCCACATTGTTTAAGAATCTGTGATTTTACAAGGTAGTTGGTTTGGCATACAAGTACCTTAGCCTGGTCATCCTGTGTTTCCCATTACCTTCTTACTTAATGAAACACAGACTGGTGGAGGACCTCCTGTGCTCCCAGGCTCTGGGCTGGGCTCTGGGGACTGGGAGATGGATGAGGAAAAAGCAAGAAGACAAACTCCCTGATCAGTGGTGGGTGGGACACAGCCACAGTTTCCCAGGGTAGGAGGCACAGCCAGTGTGGCAGAGACATTGCCCAGGAAGCCAGAAGACTCCAGCCCCCAAGGGGTTTCAGACGCAGGATCTTTCATAATCACAGGTTTGCAATGAGCAAAATAAAGCAGAATTTTCAATATTTGCATATTTCCCACCATGAGGATCTTTGAAGTATGTCCAAGATCTATTTTTACTATGGCTGAAACAATTTTAGGTTTTCTTTATTTCTGAGAGCCCTGATTATCCAGGATCTTTCAACTGTCTCAATGCATCTTCTGGAGTTTCTTCGGCTGACCATCTCCCACTGGGGCAGGATGAGCCTTGCAAACCTAATATCCCAGTGGCTGGGATGCAGAGAAGCCCGGAGCAGCAGATGATGCCATCAGAGGGGAGTCTGAGGCTCATAGATGCCACCACATGGGCCTAGTCCCTGTGCCTCTGTGCAGAGCTGGAAGCTCGGGATTGCACTAATTTATGCCCCCCCTGTTCCCCCCCTCCCCCCGCCGGTCAACCGGATACAGTGGGACCTGTTTTCCTACACGTGCGCCAACACCATGTACTATTATCCAACTTAAAACAATCTGACAAAGAGAAAACAGTATCTTGTTATTTTTAAGTTTGTATTTCTTATTCATAAATGAGCATACACTAATATATAGGTAAAATCCTATTTAATTTGAATAAAAAGAGTGCCTTTTCCATTCACAAAAGGCTCAAGAATAGGATGCCTTGAATAACAAATTGATATGCTAAGTCTCTTCTCTCAGGAGTCTTCCTGGCTTCCTTGACCTATGATTATTTGGGGGGCACCCTTTCTTAATACCTAGGAGACGTGGCATTGCTGGGCTGTACACGTCGCAGTGGTCTTAAATCTTTGCATGCACTGCAGTGTGAGATGGGTGATATTCCCATGCAGGTGCAATTCCCTGGATGCCCCCGATACCTTCCTGGAGTGGGGGCTGTGATGTAGACAAGGTAGGCTCTGGGTTAGGCCCCATCTCCAGATGCCCCTCTACAACTCCATACCTGTTTCTCCCTCTGGGTGAGATATACCCATAGGCCCCATCGCTATGTTTGAAAGTAGCATCCCCAGACAGCAGCTCCTCACCTCCATCCGCAGTAGATGAAGTTATGCTTCTGGAGACTAGTGTGTCTAAAGTCAGAATCCGTGCAGGCAACTTTGTGCTCACAGGGGAACGAAGGGGGAGGGCTGCAGGTTCCTACCTCTAGTGCTCTGTCTTCACCACTGCTTGTTAAAGCACCTGGCTTATATTGGGCTGTCATGGGCCACAGGGACTCTTTTTTAAAGGGTTGGCAAGGAAGACCGTCTGAGGATTCCCATGCTACATTTGCCTCCTTTGAGAAAAATACAAATTGGTGAAACCAAGTGACTTTACAAAGGGATGCGCCACACCCGTGTCATTATGCAAAGCAGCACACTCAGTAGAAGCCCCAGCCAGGACCACAAGATCAAACTTCAGCCGAGAGGAGCGTCACCCAGATATACAAAGCTTCAGCAGTGATGTTACAAAGTAATGAGCATCATATGTTGTGATTAGACGAAATCGTGGCTTTTAGCCCCTGGAATGAATCTGGCAGAGGATAAAGTCAAATGATGGAATCTACTTAGCAAATCAAAGGAGATGACTTTAAGAGTCCAGTTCTCTGGTTTATAGAGGAGCTTGCTGCTATGTGGAGGTGGAGGAGAGTAACAAAGGGGTGTTTGAAGATGTAACATATGCAGATTGCACCCAGTGGCCTCGGAAGGGCAGGAGGGCCAGCTTGGCGATATCTCCTAATGATGGGGTCTGTAAAGGGCTACTCATCGGTGAGCTCTGAGTAACCCTGGGGTCAGAGTTGGCCACCAGTTACACTCCTGGGGAACCCGATCTGGACTGAATTTTCAAATTCTGGGGTTTTTTTTTTTTGATAAAATTCCAATAGCCTATGTTTCTTTCTTTCTTTCTTTCTTTTTTTTCTTTTTTGCTGTTTTCATATACATTTTGAAATACTCTCATCAAACTGGTTAACATAGCCTTCACGTCATTTTCTTAGTTATTGAGTTAAGACATACACACTCTGCTTTTAGAAAGATTCACTTGTACCTTTGTAGGATAAACCATAGAGGTGACCCCACCAATCACCCTCCCTCCCCCCATCCACTCCCCTCACCTCCTCTCTCCCACCCTTCTTCCCATATTCTAAGGCTATAATTAGGTTAGACCATTCCTATGAAAACTATGAATTAGTTTCAAAATAGGGCTATGTACGTTGGATACTTTTTCTTCCATTCCTGAAATACTTTGCTAAGAAGAACATTTTCTAATTCCATCCATGTGAACATGAAGGAGGTAAAGTCTCCATCTTTCTTTAGGGCTGCATAATATTCCATGGTGTACATATACCACAATTTATTGATCCATTTGTGAGTTGATGGGCACTTGGGCTTCTTCCATGACCTAGCAATTATGAATTGGGCTGCAAGAAACATTCTGATACAAATATCTTTGTTATAACGTGATTTTTGGTCTTCTGGATATATACCTTATAAAGGAATTGCAGGATCAATAGTCTAATAGGCAGGTCTATTAGCCTATGTTTCACATATATCTATCTGGTCCCCATAGAGGTGCATGCTCAGCCTTTGTTCAGCGCTAGAAATGATCATTTTCTCAAACACCTAGTTATAACCACACTGGGGGGTCTTGTTCCACATTAGGTCTTGGGCCTAGGGCCCAACTTACAAACTGCCATATGTTTTGAGAGAATGCCTTTGGGATCTCAGAAGTCAGCTGTCTTAGATCCCTGGTACCCAGACTATCTGAATGTGGAGTGACTATCACAGCCATTTTAGAGCCAGGGCTTTCCTCTGGACATTTTCCTGCTTAGACCTTGGAGAAACCCTGTTCATTGTGTAAGTATCTCAACATCTGTATTTTCTGAAACATGAAGGGAATAATATACACAGCCAAATTTTTGTTTTATACCATAATTTCAACTTCTTGACCAGGTTCAAAGCGTTTTAGTTCTTAGTTTCAGCAGTGACATAGTTATTCTCCTTGCGGGCAGGGCACATGTGGTGGGCAGCCCCCGCAGTCAAAAGGAGCTGATGTTGAGAACAGGCTTGACACCTTATAATGAGGGTGATCTTAGAAAAATATCTTCACACCTCTGGTCCTCAATGGCTGACATGGATGCTCAGTAACTGACTTTGGACTCAAGGAAGCAAGGCATGAAGACAGAGACTCTGATCCCTCATGTCCTTTGACCTTTGTGGATAAGCTCTTATTTGGGGTTATTGTTCACTTTTTTTGTTGTTGTGTCTGGCTTGTTGGGCTCATCCTCCTTGGCCCAGAGAAGACATGGTTTTCAGAGTTATCCACCTACTGATGATCTTTTCAGACATCTTCTTTGAAACATCACATCTACCCAAGGTATGGTTGTTTCCTGATGGCAGGGGCTGTTTCCTCTTAGCCAGCTATACCTCAAGCATGTGGCACAGTGCCTGGCACAGAGGACTTGTTCTTTTGGTGGATTTATCTAAGTCTTACAGATCCTCAAAGTGAGTCTGAAAGGCAGATGACTGGAGACAGAAGCAATGTAGACCTTATTGATAACCAAACACTACAACATCCACCAGTAACAAGAATCAGTTTCTTCCTTATATAGGGAAGGCTGGTGGAGTCTTTACCAGGTAAGCACCACTGTCGTCTCAGGGGAAAGTCTCCTGTGAACCATGGACTAGCAGGAAAGCTCATGCCTCCAGTGTGGGCACATCCATAATAAGGCCAACACCTAGTCAAGGTACATACATCTGATGGTTAAAAGAACTTTTCTTCTTTGAAAAATAATAAAAATCTTCTGTCTTCCCACCAACAGCTAACCTGATATCAAAGGGCCAGGAGGCACCTCAGATTCCTCACCATTCCTTTAATGAGCTGAGCAACTTTTAATAAAGCCGATAGCTGAGTAACAAACAGGCTGACGGCACAGCAACAGGCAGGTGATCAAGGAGTGAGGTCAAGGC